TAGTAAGTTTAAAAAACCTTTCTTTTAAATACAATGATACTAAGAAAAACTGCTCTATCTTTCTGTGATATTTGAATCATACTTCAGTTAATGTCATAATAATAATATTCCAATAAGACCTGTTTTTCTGCCACATGTGACGATTAAACTAGTGCGCACTAAATTAATATTTTTCTAATAGATTTTGATAAAAACAAGATAGAGGATCATAGTTTTCATTCCTTGAAGAACGAGATGAAGATGCATCCAATCATACACTACACGTTGTGTTAGTATATTCTCTGATGTTTCTTGATCGATTTTCTAAGTGTAGGGAAAATGGTATCTTACCAAAAACGTGCAGCAAAATAAGTTTTTACACTAATTGCTAGAAAAATCAGTGAAAGCTTCGATTAGAATAATGTAGCTTCTAAATGATTAAATCTAAGCATTTGAACCTTATGTAGTTTTGTAAATCATCCATCAGCAGTTTCAATATACACCTGACAATTCAGAATTCACTGTAAACACCACACAGATAGGTTTGTTTTCAAAGAGGTTAATTGAAAACCTTAAAAAAAGCGTCATATAAAAATACCTATAATATACAACTCGATGGATGTTCATCTCCTCTTTCGAACGATGAAAATCCAAGGGAGAAAGTGCAGGTTGGGAACCGCCGGCACCTACAGCATCTACACAGCACCTACATCACCTATACAGCACCTACATCACCTATACAGCACCTACATCACCTATACAGCACCTACAGCACCTATACAGCACCTACAGCAACTATACCGCACCTACAGAGCACCTACAGCACCTACTCAACACCTACAGCACCTACTTGGCGTCTACAACACCCACAACACCTACTCACGAGGGAACACCACGAACTGATCAATCGCTATTTAAATTCTAGTAATGCCAATTTATAGAGCTTGTTGAGTTATTAACTGATATAATAATCATTCCAGCACATAACGCGGCTTTAGAGTAAATTTCTGATAACCAAAGTTTCCATTAACCTATTCATACCCTATAGTGGTCCTATACAGGCCCTATAAAGACCCTATAGGATCACTATAGGGGAAGCCTATAGGAGCTCCTATAGAATTCCTATGGGGGTTCTATAGAGATCCTACAGCGAAGCCTACAGAGTCCTATAGAGGCACTATAGGGACCGCTATAGGACCCAATAAGCCTCTAGAGGGTCCGTACAGGAACTTATAAGCCCCAGTATGTGTCCCAGAGAGGCTCTATAGGGCTTCTGTAGGACCCTGTAGGCTTCCTTATAGGACCCCTATAGAACCTCTACAGGAATCCCATAGGAGCTCCTATAGGCTTCCCCTATAGTGATCCTACAGGGCCTTTATAGGACTTCTATAGGACTACTATAGGGTATGAATAGGTTAATGGAAACTTTGGTTATCAGAAATTTACTCTAAAGCCGCGTT